TTAGATGCTCAAGTGGGTAGAAAAATTTTACTTGTCAGTCTTGCTAATTTGAATAGACTTCTGCAACCATTAACCCTGAAACCCTTGAGCCACGCGTACACACACACACACACACTGAGCAAATCCCAAATTAACCTCTTGTAAAAAATGATTCGTAATGAAGTAGTGAATAATTCATGAATCATCAGTAAAGCCACTTGATATAATTTAGAACCTCTATAAAGAGTATCTAACCAGAAAGTGACACTGAGATGTGGAGACAGGAGGCTTGAGTGGGAAAGTTTGGGGGCATTTTTTTCAACAGCTTGGACTCCCACTCTCACTTTGGCATCCTCACACACAGACTTGATAAAACGTAACCTAGTTAAGCTCAAAGTATTTAGTGTGTGTGTGTGTGTGAGGGAGTGTGTGATGTGAAGGTAGGCCAAGACAAGTTGTCAAGTTCACTGGCTCCACCCCCTGAGGAGTGTGACAGCTGGTAACTATGGAAACACTCGCTGAAATCACGTTAATTGGCTGAAAACGACTGACGGCTCACCCTACTTTGAGTTCGATCTCCTTTTGTTTATGGTAGGATCCCTATCACCTACTTACACACACCTCAACCCAATTAAGAAGCTGTTCAGAAAAACAAGAGAAGAAGTGAGGAAAAACAAAAAGGATTTGATTGATACTGAAGAGAAAAGAGAGATGAGAGATGGAGCGAGAGAGAGAGAGAGAGAGAGAGAGAGAGAGAGAGAGAGAGAGAGAGCAAAAGAAGAAAAAATGGTACAAAAAGGTTCAAGCAAAGAAAAGTGACAGAATCAACTTTTTTGATGTTTCAGCTGAAGAAAAAGTCTTAATGATTTATGCACTGCTGAATAAGTTATATGTCCTGTGTGCRTATGTGTAAGCATATGTTCCACCAAGCATCAACATCAAGTTTGTATGGCAAGCCAATTTATCATAAAGTAAAATAATCTTAAAGGGGCAATCTTATGTGTTTCTCAGGCATATGTTTAAATGCTATACATAGTAAAGTATCTATGTCACCTTTAGCTGTTGTTAAAATGC